TGCTCGGTCTTTGGTTTTATGTGTAGGGTTTGTGTTGCTCGGTCTTTGGTTTTATGTGTAGGGTTTGTGTTGCTCGGTCTTTGGTTTTATGTGTAGGGTTTGTGTTGCTCGGTCTTTGGTTTTATGTGTAGTGTTTGTGTTGCTCGGTCTTTGGTTTTATGTGTAGTGTTTTGTTGACTGCTGCTCGTCCTTTCGTCGTTTCTCATTTTGGGCATAGTATTGTCCGTTTGTCTTTGACTTGACGTGTTTTCTTTATATCCTTTATATCTTCCGCCTTTTTTTATGAAACTATATATTAATAAATCTTATAGTTACAATAAAAACTCTATTAGCTAAAATTGTGAATGGAAATGGGGAATGTGTCAAAGAGACAACAACCGGACCAACGAGCAGAAAACAGTCGAAGGCCAACAATGGGTCTTCTATACAGCGAAAAAATCACACACCCGGAGGCGTACTTCAGCTGGCCCCTTAACAAAAATATGTACTAGTTCAGTAATAATGGACGTCATACTAAACTCCGAAATATATGAAAGAAACTAAAATTAAAAATCATACTAGACTAACAAAGGCAAGAGGGGTTTAGTATCATACCATAATAAAATATATTACAAATAGAATCTATATCGAGCCCTTTTATGATAGTGTTCAACCGTACAACAAAAGTTTCATCAGTAACAGTTTATTGTAAAATTACATATATTAAGCACTTCATTTTCACACTTATTGTTCAGCATCCTGTTAGATCAGTGTTACACTTAACAATTCAAAATTTTCAAAAGTTTGTAAATTTTTTTTTTTTTTTTTATTTTTGGTAAAATATGAACATTCTAAATTTTTGAAATTTTATTAAATTTTGAAAATTTCCCCAAATAATTAAAATTCTAAAATTCGTTTTAAAATTCAATATTTTTAGATATTAATTCAAACTTTAAATACTAAACATAAGGTGCAGTTTTGATCATTTCGCTTTAATTTTGATAGTTTGAATCCTAGATTTTTTATTAAAATATAAGAAAGGACTAAAAAGTGGGTACCTGTAAAGGGCAAAACGGATTAAAAACGGAACGGAACGAAACAAAATATACCAAAACGAAACAACGAAAAGAATATTTAAAAAAAATAAATAAATTTAATATAAAACAAGAGGCTAACTTGTTTGATCTACAGGGTGAAAATGAGAAATTTGTCAAAAAAATAATTAGGAAGACCTGATTTTGACACACTTTGATTCTCTAAATAAATGAACCATATGCAGAAATTACTTGTCAACTTTGTGATTACTGCTCTAAATGTGGTAATCAATAGTATATGTCTGTATATTTGACTTAGATACCTCCACGAGGAGCTTCAATAATGGTACATTTTTGATAGCGAATATAATAGCGAATAAAAGGTAACGGAATATTCGCTTTTTGTATTAAGGGATAGTTCAGTATTTGTTATTTGCACTTTTGTAAGTTATCTTAAGACAATCAACTTTGAGAAAAGTATAAGTACACAGCCACGTCCGGTCAGAACGGGGCGTGTAGAGAGAGTGCCACACTTTCAGCACGTTAAGAACCCTTGCAACAACTCTTTGAGGGGTTCGTTGGTTTCCTGTTGCAAGACAAAACTTCTGTCCCTATTCCATATACTCTCATTTCCTGCGGTGGCAGTCTGAATTTCCCGACCTTCATCCCAAGCAACGTTAAGCAACCAACAATCAATCATCCAAAACTGTCCGTTTATGAATTTAAAAATTATAAAGAAACAAAGGTTTCAACTCCCTCAGGCAAAGTTGAACTTAGATGGATTTTGCTATTTTTATGTCCCTTTTGGTCATATAGCTCTTCAATTATTTCGGTTCTTATACATCCTTGGCTTTCAAATATTCAGCTTTGAGTGTTTCGGATGTAGGTAAATTCAGAAAAGCGCGTTGGACGCATGCAATCAAGTGTTGTTTTCATTTTTATTGTATATTCCACTCAATTCAAATCATTATTGTCAATGGAAAATAGTACATGGGCGGATTCAGGTTCTTGTTATTGTAATTTTATGTTTTGCGGGGAAGCCTCATTTAGTAGAATATTTGTGTTAATATTGAATTTTTCTGATTTTTCACTGCTATTCCTTAGTTTTTGTACCGCTATTTTTAAAACTCAAGAGTTCGTCACTGTAATATATATCAATCATGAAAATTATTGACTATAAACACAAAGGTAGCATGACATGAAATTGAAAAGATTATGAGTCCCCTGTACTCGGTTCTAAAGACTGTTTTAAAAAGCACCCTGTGAAGTCTTATATATCGTAATACTGCAAGGTTATTGTAAAATGATTTCAGTACAGAAAATTAGCATTAAATCGAAAATGGTTAAATTTGATCAATATTGTAATATGTTTAGTGATTTAATGGAAATATTTACTATTGTTCTTCACTAAATAACAGTTATAATTTAGAATAATATCAGTTTTAAATTCCAAGAATGTCTTCTTTCTTATTCACATTTAAAAAAACGGCCCATTTGTTAAAAACCAGGACTTTTTAAAATTGTTGCTCTCGAAAAAATCCCGGACAATATAAAACGCTGAATATTAAGTGAAACTCGAAGAAAGTGTGCCTAGTTTGGGCCTACAATATGTATAGTATCCAGAATAAGATGAACAATAGATAGAAGAAGATGTGGTATTAGTGCCAATGAGACAACTCCCCGTCCAAGTCACAATTTGTAAAAGTAAACCATTATAGGTCAAAGTACGGCCTTCAACACGAAGTCTAGGCTCACATCGCACAGTAAGCTATAAAGGGCCCCAAAATGACTAGTGTAAAACCATCCAAACAGGAAAATTAACGAACGAATAAAACCATTATACTTGCGAAATAGCAGTAAAACGATCTGATCGCATTTAATATCACTCGAAAAAACACGATCTCAGCCGGTCACTATACCTACCGTGTTACATGACATGATAGAATGAGACAACCAACGACTTAAATTATGCTAAAACTATAAAACTATAAACGACAAAAAAAACAACCTAAATAGTTTACCATTAAGATTGGTCACTTCAACTTGCTAATATGTACATATCGGTGATGTGAACTTTTAAAACATTAGATTAAATTACGGTTTTGTTTAACAATGTGTTTTTCTTTTTTAAAATATAAAAGATTTGATTGGGCAACAGGCTAACCATCTGCAAGCCTCTCCAAGAGAGAGAAAACATCGCATATATACACAAACTTGTGACAACACAAACACATATTTCATTATCAAAACTACACATGTAATTATGTAATGTTGCTCATGTTATTAAAACTGATGGCACGCATTAATCAAAAAGCCCACAGCTACATATAGAAAGAAGGGCGAGATGGATATTCAGGCTGAAAAAAAGAAGAATTATGTAATAAAATTATATTTATGTGGTCTTTCATAAGACTATCACGCTGAGTTGGATATTGTTGGTCAGTTTTTTTTACTGTTCTCCTATATGATGAGCGCTTTATCAAGCAAGTGACGTTTGGGAGACGGATTTATAAAAAGTTTTATAAAAATCCCATATTTGAATTTCATGTAACATTGTAATACTTTATTGTTGTAATTTTTCATTAATAAATACTGTTTAAACTAAGTGATGTTTGGGCAAAAGTTTAGAACAAAAACAATTGTAAAATTGGAGTAAACTATCCAACCTAGAATTCCTTTTGTCCATTACGACCAATGGATTCGAAATTCGCTGCTATCTTTGATTAAATGTTAAAACCAAACAGTTCTGAATAAATTATTTCAAACGCTTAGCTTCTGTTAGAGATTTTTAACAAATGCAACTTTAAAAAGGTTCGGAAATTGTGTGTTTATTTAAGAGATATAAAACCTTAAAAATTTCAGGATACTGATATCTCATGTGATGTCCGATTTGTTTAAAGAAATACAGCTTCTTTTTTAAATATTTCTTTTGCAATTAAAAATGCTTCAGTTCGTGTTGTTCTTTTTTTTTCCTACCTAAGAATGATCATATCAAAATGGTTCTTTTTTTTAAATTAAGTCTCCGCCTTTGAGAAATATTTGTTTGTTTACTCAATTTTTCTCCGCTTTGATCCCTGTCTGCCTCTTGTTTTATTTTTTACATTGATTTTTAATTAAAAAATGTTCATTTCGTTTCGTTTTGTCATATTTCGTTTCGTTTCGTTTTGATTTTGCAAATTTCGTTTCGTTTCGTTTCGTTCCGTTTTATTTCATTTCGAACTTTACAGGTACCCAAACGTGATAATGATACATATGTTCTCTTTTCGTCCGTTTTCTTCTTTTGATATTTTAATAAAAAAATTAAAAAAATCAAACTTTCATAAAGAGAAATAATCAAAACTGCACGTTGGGTTTAGTATTTTTAAAGTTTGGTTAAATATCTAAACTATTAAATTTTAAAACCAATTTTAGAATTTTAGATTCATCGAAATGACCTCCGAAGACTGCCGACGGTCATATAACACGATATAAACATAAATATAAATATAAACAGATAGTGACCACGTGGAATTGGATTTTTCTTGGTCTGTTTGATTTCATATTGTAGGTTTAACGTATGATTATCATCATTTTTACCTGTATAAGAATGATTGAATCAGTTAACCAAATCAGTGGTTCATCCTTGTTTCAATTTCAATGTTGACATTCTTTTCCTTTTAATAGCTGAATACATGCGTAACCCATGTCCAGCTAATGGGTTAAATTGAAGTTCACATGAATACAGATTCAATGAGGAAGAATTATTCACTTGCAAGTGAATAATTCATCAGCGATTTTTTTTAGCTTATTTTGACAAAATTGAACCAAATTTTAAACGGTTTCTTAGTCTAGTATTTTTCAATTCAACTCCGAAGTACTGCATGATAGGTAAACATGATACATGTAGTCATGAACAAACTTTCAGTAAATGCAATTTTTTAACGTCTTCTACTTTTCCCATATAATCTATATAATATAACATCTGACACATTTATTTTTTTAGGCTATCGCATATCATGGTGACGTACAGGGAATTTACAGGTAAATGTGTACCTAAACAAACTTTTTAAATACAATGGCTGATAGCAAGGTAGGTATCGTTGTAATGTTGAAATCTTCAATTAACAGTTATTTCAAGTTTAACTTAATGTAGATATACTTGTAAAAATCAGAAGTAAGGGATCCCCACCCCAATGTCGTCAATACCAGCCAATTGCATTGCAAATTGAATCATATCATGTATACCAGACATTTATATTTGGCCATTTGGGTTTCTTTTTTGTTATAAATATAATAATGTCATCTATCATGGTTAGTCGATAACATAAATAAACCTGCTATTATACATGATGCATGATGATTTATAGCGTTAGGCTTTAATACGAGTAACGTGACATGCAGGTTTCACTCGTGAAAAAGTCTACATTTATTCTTTTACAACTTATGAGTTCACCTCGGTTTAAGTTGAGTTCTAGCATGTTCTGGTTTTTTTTCAGTGGCAGTCTAATTTTTCCTCCAATTATCCCAGTCTACACGCTCTGCAAAACTTACCTATTAGATTTTAATTGTTGATTTTTCGTCTTTGATTGCATGTTTTTTTTTTTGGTGTTGAATTAATTCACACTTTTAAAAGATGACGTAAACCATAACACATTGCATATACATAATGTCTATTGTTGAAGACTGTATGTTGTCTTTCTAGCGCATGGTTATTTTTGTCGCACGCTGGGTTGCTGTCACATTCACGAATACCATGTTTTTAATATTCATATGTGTATATTGCTTTTATGAATATGATTATTTTACTTTTAGTCGACCACGTGTAATTTTTCCAAGATCTGTGGCCAAAATGTCAAGGTTAAAGCAGACACTGCTGAATGGAAACTTTCATACTCTGGAGGAAGATTATTCACATCTCAACCGATCATAGCCGGAAAAACAATTATTTTCAACCTCTTCGGCAGTGGACATGTAGAATTTGGCCTCTTTTGTGCAGATCCCGATCAACTTATAAATGTTTCTACCATTGAAAACCGAAATGAATTCAAGTATTTGCAGACCACCCGAGTACACAAAATTGGTGGGAAAATACACGTGATCTGCTCAGAAGACGGCTCAAAAGTAACATTCAGACGAGACAGTCAAGAATGTTGTTCTAACATAGATGCTGAGAAACAGACGTGGATTACAGCCAATCTTTTGTTCGGAAACATAACCGCTCAAATAGGTCAGTGTAGATATTAAATAAAACTATAGGCTCTAAAGAGTCTATGTCGCTCACCTGCATCTTCAACAACGGGCCACTTATAATTTAAGGTCAATAACTCCAATAACGATTCCACTGAAGATTTCTGCCTTATGGCTTATTTGTAGATCTAGTCATTCTGATCAATTTTGCTATTTAAAATTTCTACCTATCTATTAAAGTTTTCAAGATAAGGGGACGACCATTTGATATTCTGGGGGGGGGGGGGGGGGGGGGGGGGCAGGAGGATTTGTTGTGGATCGGTTATTTATTTTTGTAAACTAAGAGGACAGATTATCTATTTTCTGCACTATTGAAGCAAGATTTTTCATTTTCATTAAAGCAAGGGACTGATTATTTATTTTCACAACTATATTTATAATATTCGAAAACATACAATTTTTAAATTATTTGTATTATAAATAATTCATGTATAGTCAAGTCATTATGTACCATTTAATCAGAATTAATTATTATCCTCTGCAGAAATGAATCTTTTTATATCCCCCAATGCATATACCTGTATTGCATACATACACAGTTTTAAAGTTTGGTTGAAACTAAGGCTCTTCTAAAAGTATTGGCAAACGTGTTTCGCCGAGCGGAGCGAGGCAAAATTTTTTTTGAAGGGTTTTTGAACCGCTGAAGGCCCAAGAAGCTATAGAACAAATGATGCAAAATCATGCCTTCTGGGTGTTCCCCAGACCCTTTCTTAAACTGAAAATGCAAGTTCTGTTTTAATAATTTTATGACAATATTTTGGTCTCAAAACAAAATCACGTTATAGATTCAGTGTAAGACTTAAGTTTCTAGGAACAACATCAAAAGACAAATATGCATGATATTAAAAGCAAAAATGTAATTCACATAGTTAAGTCTGTGGCTGCTGTGTTTTTTTAAACTCATGATCAAGTTAATAATAAAACTACTAAATTACAAAATGAATGCAACACTAACAGAATACAGAAGGGCAATCAATGAACAAAAGACAAATAAATAAGAAATATTGATCCCGAAAAATCAGGGGCTACGTCTGAGGGAGAACAGAACTTGCTTCTTGCAAGGCACTCACGGTGAACACAATTTGATATGGAGACAAGCGTTTGGTTTTGAAATTTCCTACATGAGGCATTTGTCTCAATGTAGTTACGGCCCTGATTTAATAAAAGTGAGGTAAGTGTTCCTGAGACAATTAACCTCAAGTTAAATGAAACCAATTTTCTGACATTTCAAGTATATTTAAATAATATTTATACTTTTATTATTAAAAGATATGGGAAGTGTTTCCCGATTTTTTTTTTTTGGAAAAAAGATTAATTTCTGAAGAATCTGGTGCCATCTCATACTTTCGATTAGACCTGCTGAGTTATTTATTTTCAATACATTGCAAGTCAGGTCATTTATTTTCAAACTACCACAGAACAAACCATTTATTTTTGTGATTATCTAGGCTGAGTTATTTATTTTTAAAATCCTCCTGCCCCCCCCCCCCCCACCCCAGAATATCAAATGGTCGTCCCCTAATAGGCAAAAATGCAAACAAAAAAAAAACAAAAAAAAAAAACTGGGAAAAATCATCATTAAAGGGCTAAAACTTCAATAAGTTGTCGACTGACGATTTCGATCATATTGACTTATCTGTAGATCTTGTCTTGCTGATAATTTTTGGTATATAAAGCATCTTTCTATCTATAATAATTGTCGAGAAAATAGGCAAAAATAAAAAAGACAAGTGGTAAAATTCTTCGTTTAAGGACAATAACCCCTATAAAAAGTCTTCTGACAGTTTTTGTTGTCAACAGACAGTAGGTGCCGGCCCCGTCAGATTTTCTTTATCTAAAGTGGTATCAAGATAATAGACAAAACGTGCATTTTACCACTATGTTCTATTTTTAGCCATGTCGGCCATGTTCGTTGGCAAGCGGGGTTATTAAACACATTTTTAGAAATAGATACCCCAATGACGATTGTGGCTAAGTTTGGTTAAATTTGACCCTGTAGATTCAGAGGAGAAGATTTGTGTAAAAGTGGACGGACGACGACAGACAACCGACGACAAATGATGGTTAAAGAGGGCCAGGTGAGCTAAACACTGAGGTTCCAACTCCCTCAGGCAAAGTTGACCTTCGATGCATTTTGTCATTCTTTTAGGCCCCTTTTGTTCATAAAGCTCTTAAGGTGTTTAAGTACATCCTTGGCTTTCCATTTTTGGGGTATGGGCTCGATCGTGATGAAGGTTAATCAGGAAAGCGCTTCGGAAGCAATACATTTATAAAGTGTTCAATCTTTTCATTTTTCATTTATTGTTGGTAAAATGTCGAAGTTATGACCTTCGATTCATACTATGCATTGGAGAACATTCCCGGTTGAATATTTCAAAGACTGGCAACACCTAAGTTTCAATAGTTTTCTCTATCAAAGATAAATTGAATGAACAAACCATGGCCACGTTAACCTTATAACTTTCTTTCGTCTCTTAAAATCACTTGTGAGTACCGATGTCCGCGTGCTTTTAATATAAGACATCTATAATACATACATGTAACAAGCATTTTTTTCGCATTGTTGAAGGCCGTACGATTGCATATAATTGCTTACATCCACTTCATTTGAACTTTAATGGAGAGTTGTCTCATTGGCAATCATACCACATCCCCTTGTTTTTATAATGTGAAAAAACAGTATCTAATCAACCAATGCCTACATACGTGTCATTAATATATTTTCTCATATTTTAGAAAACTTATATATGAGTTTCCACCGGGTAAAAGGAGAAAATATTAACTTAACAGACAACAAATCTAAAGCCAATTTAAAGACAGTCAACCCATCAGCAGTCTGTTATATTCCACACCGACTTCATACCAACGACCAAATACAATTACATCTAACTCCAGTCAAATTTGATGACCGTCCACCTAGTGTATATTTTGTCAAAATGGCGGTCAGTGATTATGACCCAGAAATATTCATGAAAAATTTGAAACCTATCCACTGTTTGGAAGACCTTCCGGTCAATATTATACCTGCAGATGTTTGTTCTTCAGAAGGGGATATAAATGTGAAAATATGTGACAATAAAGTGATTATGAAACAAAGTAATTTACCAGAAGTTGTTGCAAACACAGGAATCGATTTAACACAAGGCTTCTATTGTTTGTTCGAGCTTTATCGAGTAAAACTGTCGTGTCTTAGAAATGGACCAGCTTTAGAGTCAAACATTTCTTCACAAATTATGTCCAGTTCTAATCTAAATGGACTTTCACCTAGTAATATAACTGACGGATTGGACCAAGAAGACAGTCATGGGGTAATAGGAACAAAATCCGAAAGCGAGAAAGAGAAATTTGATCAAATATTTGATATAATCGAAGTACTGGAAAGAGAACACTATGATAAGTTAGAGATAAGAGAAGACTTTGAATGCGTAAAATGCAGATTAACTGAAATCAAAAATAAATTGACTTCACCGTCAATAATCCATACTCAGATTCCGGAAAGTGAAATAGCGATGAAAATTAGAGAAAACTATTCACGACTTTTGATTTGTATTGATCCTTTGCCATTGTCTGATCATCTTTTTCAGGAGAATATGATATCTTTTGATAACCACCAGCACGTCCGAAACAAATGGCAAGTAGACCCAACAAATGCAAAACGAGACCTACTGGCAATGTTGATGGTCCGTAAATTGGAAAAGCAAGTGCTAAGAAAAGTGTTGTCAAATTGCAAACTGGAACATGTTTATGATATTCTTTTTCCAGAAGATGCAATGTAACACCAATGTTTGTTGTATAAATGAGTTTTATTACGACAGTGACTTTCCCTTTTTGGTTCTTGGCATTGATCTAATCCCAAAGTAATTTCATTATATTCACCTAAATTAACCGGATATTTTTGTACTTTGCTGAACGTTCAGTGGCACATATTTCATAAAATTGAGAATGGAAATGGGGAATATGTCAAAGAGACAACAACCCGACCAAAGAGCAGACAACAGCCGAAGGTCACCAATGGGTCTTCAATGCAGCGAGAAAATCCCGCAGCCGGAGGTGGTCCTCAGCTGGCCCCTAACTAAAATTGTGTGCTAGTTCAGTGAAAATGGACGTCACACTAAACTCCAAAACATATAAATAAACTAAATTTAAAAAAACATACTAGACTAACAAAGGCCAGAGGCTCCAGACTTGGGACAGGCGCAAAAATGCGGCGGGGTTAAACATGTTTTGTGAGATCTCAACCCTCCCCCTATACCTCTAGCCAATGTACTATAAAGAAACACATAGCAATACGCACAGTAAAACATGTATATTCTAGACGTTTTTTTGAAAAAAGAGATGCAGGGAATACATTAATGAGACAGCAACACAACGACAAAAATCACAAAAAGACATCTTAGGCCAACAAACCTATAAATAGCACATGAAAGACATTTATTTCTGTAACATCCTTCAAAAAATATTAAAATAAAAATCAAACACAGTACTGGAACATTGCAGTAAAATCTTAGACCGAGTCCAGATTAGATGCAAAGCCACATTTAGAAAATGACAATCGTCTAATATCGTCTTTTGGGTTATCAGTTACTTTGAAAATATATAAAGCTACAAATGTACTATCTGCAGAATATTTTGACACGGCAGGCGTGTAATATTTCGATGATTAACACATAATATATCATATGTGACGCTCAAATATGCAAATAGGGGGGAGGGGGCTCTGTAGACGAATGGTCTAGATAGATCAACAACAGGGATCACTAGCCAGTCAACTCCACTGTTGGGAGTTCGAATCACGCTCTTAATGAGGTTTGTTTACGACACCGATGTTAAGTGATAATGAAGTGCCAGTTTTCTTGCCGAAGGTAAACGGTTCTATCCGGGTACCCTGGCTTCCTCTACCAATAACAAACTGGCCGCCGTGATATATCCAAGGTCGCTGAAAATGGTAAATAAATCGTCATACAAACAAACAAATATGTAAATGCATATTATCCAACCCACAGGTACTTGTGGACAGGATACCCTTTGGGTGCCCCTGAGTGGGAGTACCCCAAATGACCCCTCCCTCCCCATGTAGTTTAATTTTGATTTATTTTCTATTAAACGTTTATTTAAATTGTTTTCACTTGGAATATATGTCGAAGTTACTGACAAACAGCATTTGGGATTTTTGCCGGTCGACTGATATAAATATACTTGTTTAACAGATTTATCCCATTTTGACATGAAGCGCATGACTAATTAGACCGGGTCTCAAGTGACCAGTAATAAGAGATCAGGAGCGGATTCAGGATTTTAGGTTAGGGGGGGCGCTAACTTGAATTTTTGAGGTAAAATTATCGAAATATTCTTTATTAAGCTGAGGACAACCCATGCTTTGCAAATTTTAAGAAATGTAATATCAATGGATTGCATTTGCAATGTAATAAATATTAGCAATTCATAAATGACCAAATACATGTACCTATAAGTATGGAGACGTTGTATTTTCTATCTGGTTAAAGTGACCAGATCCAATTTTCAAACCAAAATGTCTTTACTGAACTCTTTATCTGTGTTATTCCGTTTTCAGGTCACTAATAAATGTAAGAACTTTTTATTTCTTTTATATATGGGATGGTGTATTTTTACAATGTCCACATAGCAGATTTTTCTTCAAACGGCATGCAATGCATAATATTGTTTATTGAAATCACACAAAATTTTGTCGCCGTTTTATTAGTTTTAAATGTGTTATGAATTGTCTATACACAAGCTAAGTTCCTATAATAGAATTATTTCAACAATTGAGAAGATTTTATTGGAAGAATTTATACATCCCCGGTTGTCTAAATACGAATACGCACTTGCGACAATAGAAGGGAATATTAAATTGGAATTGCCTGTTGAGAGATAAAAAATGCGATGTTCATTTCAGTTCGTAAAGGAATCTGAGATTAACCTCAGGCGAGCTCATTGCAATCAGGTCGTAGATGAACTCTTGTAAGTTAAATTTCGTACCCTGCCTAGTACGCCTTTATTCTCCAGATTCAGTCAAACGAGTTCATCCCTTCTTCCTTACTACCAAATTTTCAGATCCTGCCAATTATTCAGTTGTTCTTATCCAGAATTCTTACAAATTATTTGCCACGTTGAAATTGAGGTGGTATAAAACAAAAAAGCAACAAAAATATATAAAGTCGAAGGGAAACCGACAACCACTCTACAACACACTACATAAAACACCTAGAACTGAGCAACACGAACCCCACAAAACATAGGGGGTGATTTCAGGCACACCGGAAGGAACACAAAATTCTAAAACTACCAATCTAAGAATTTTGAAATGTTCCTGTTCACAAGGTACACGAATAAGAAAATATATAAATACAAAATCGTTTTTCCGAAGACATTTAATTAAAAAAATAGCTAAAAAAAAAGAACAATAAAAGTTGTCCCATATGTTGTTCACGTTTACTTATTGTGTTTATCGAAATACTAGTAAGTATTTCCACAGTGAATGTTTCGAAAACATTAAATGAAAGTAAATCAGTAGTCTGGGAAAACAAGATTTATTCATTAGTTATAATTGGCTTTGAACTAGCTTTCAGTGTATAACTGCTAAGACTCTTATTTCGGTGCTTTGTGTCTATTGTTTTAATGTTAATTATGTTTGTGCCTCGTACCCATCTTTTGAGTCAATCCCATTGTAATTGAATTTTATAGTTTGTTCTTGTATTGTACTGTAACACCACTGTCTCAGGTTAGGGGATGATTGAGCACTCACAAGCATGTTTAACCCCGCCACATTCTTTATGTGCCTTTCCCAAGCCAGGAGCATGTTGTTCAGTGTTTCTCGTTGGTTCATGTCTGTCATGATTGATTTTCGTAAATTGTTTTGTTATAAATTAAGCCGTTAGTTTTCTCAATTGAATTGTTTCACATTTTTCATGTCGGGATCTTTTAAAGTCGACCATACGGTATGGGTTTTTCTCGTTGTTGAAGGCCGTACGGTTGACTATAATTACTTACATCCAATTCATTTGAACTTTGGTGGATAATCGTCTCATTGGTAATCATACCACATCTGCTTATTTTTATAATCATGAGAACTTGAAACAATCACTGGTAATTTTTAGGAATATTATGTGTGTGTAACATCTATCAATTTCATTCATATATCCACAACGTTTTTTTTTTTGCAATGTTTTATTTTGTAAAGGGTCCTATGGTGAGTGATGCATGCAAAACAAGAGACGATTACTCTCTCGACGTACCCGGTCTCGCTCCAACTCAACTCCAACTGTTAATTTTCTCTCCAATTATTCAAGAACGGAACAATTAAAAAAACGTTTCAACCAGGCGAAATAAAAGTAACAGACTTTTGACAAAAAAAGTAGTTTCCATTCATGAAGGTGAAACATTTCGAAAACTAAACATCTTTTGCCCTATTTAACTTCTTCTGTAGATATATTAAAATTTAAATTAACTTCGAAGCTATAAACAGCATTGAAGAAATGTCCTGTCTTACGATTTCGCTCATTATGTCTGGAGTCCGTACTGGAATCTGTATAGTTTTTTTTCTCTTTTCTTATCTTTGGTGGATAAGTATAATAATTCTTTATTGTCATATATAAGTAAAACATGATACTTGTGACATAATACAAATAATAACAACAACAAAAAATTAACTGATTTGAATACATACATATATATATACATACATTCGGCTGTTGTCTGCTCTATGGTCGGGTTGTTGTCTCTTTGACACATTCCCTATTTCCATTCTCAATTTTATACAAGGAAAAATAACTAAGAGTCCCCTGTCCTCAGCTATAAAGACTGTTTTATAAAGAAACCTGATTTTTTTTCCACTTGGTTTATATTTGAAGGATTTAGCATAGCAGGACTACTAGTTTTTCAGTATCAGACATATTTGGAAATATAGGATTATCTATTGCGATGTCATTAAAAAGTTTTATACATAATATATTATTAATTTGACAGTAGAGGAGAAAGTGGTTTTCATCTTCTAAGGTTTTACAAGTTAGACATGTTCTTTGGTCTCGAGATAATTAATACTTAGGTTGAAAATCATTTCATTGCATTGGCAATTATGCCACATTTACTTATTATTGTATTAAAAGACAGAATAAATGATTTATTTTGGAGGGTCTGGATGGGATCAAAGATAATAATGGGCCAATACTACAGAAAAATGAGCCAACACAATAAAGAATAGAAAAAAATACCCCCCCCCCCTCCCCCCCCCAAAGAAAAAAAAGACTAAATGATAAAGCATAGAGAATAGGGGTGCTTTAATATTAAGAAAAGAGAACATTGGCCAACATTTATAAAGAATAGGCCTAAATTTAAAGAAATAGAAAAAAAGACCTCATTGTTTTGAATTAGATGCTAAATTTATTGTGCGTCGTTATATTTGTAAAACTCTTATGTCAACAATACAGGTGAAGGTATATCCCAAGGTTGATGTGTATATTTAGATAAAAAAATCCAACTATACAAGTGTATTCTACATAAAATAGTTATTTAAATAGTTATTCTCCGAACTGAGTGGTTGACGTCACAAAGTGGATAAAACCCTCAAATAATGGCTGAATCATCGGAACAGTCGGACCTAGTAGCTGTAAGTTATATTCTTATTTCAATGTTGCATGCAGATCTGTTTCAAAGACCTTTTACAACAAAACAAACACAGTTTAAGATAAACCTACTAGCTGATCGTGTGGTATTTATATGTCTGGGCTGAGGAGAACACACTCATGCATAAACATCTAAACTGAAATTAAACAAAATAAAACGGAAGTTATTTATTCAGATGTTGCCCATCAAAGTGTTTTGTTTATATTAGTTTGTATTATTTAATTGACAATAGGCATACAAATGCTAGATTTTTGTACTTAAATGCTTTACATACCCGGAAGTATAGGCTCACATTACAGTACAGACAAATCAAATCGGACATTTTTCTTTGATTACATTAGAAAGCTGCTGATTTGCGGCATTTGAAGATTCATGCAGCTCCTCTGGCAAAGTTGACCAAAGATGGTTTTGGCTGTTCTTATGAAGGTCTCTTTCTCATCTAGCCCAAATTTGAGCCGCCCATGACTGTCTTTTTTAGCGTTCCTGATGAAAAGCGTTAGGCTAACGCAAAATGTTTAGTGCAATTTTGTTTTTGGGGGGAGGGGGGTCATGTATTTATTTGCACTAAAATGAGAGACCCAGGTACTGCTACTAAAGTTTTATTTACAGTTATATCATATTATTAGTGTATACTTGGAGGGTATCAATTTCAAAACACATGGCTAACTATTTTTTACAGAAAATGCAAACTATCGAGTAACCCTTCATAAAACTATAATTCAATCAGGGCGTGTTTTTTAAAGCGCACTAGAGATCAGCCTTACTGCGTTTTTATATTCATATACGCTAATTTTTTTGTCGGTATCGTTTTACAGATATTCAATCGTCAAACATTTCCTGATTCCAGAAACCTACAACAAAGATAGTATAATCTGCAGAGGTCTGTCGAAGGAGAGATATTCTGTAGAGTTTGATTTCACGTTAAACACCTGTTTTAACAATTAAGTACAATATAATCTCGTTAAAATTAAATCTTAATTACCATGTACAAAAAATAAGATATGGAAGTACAGACACTGATATTAGAGTGTAGGATGACATGATTTCATACCAGCTTTTTAAATACTTAGAGTGTACTTTCAGTAATAGAAAGAAAGGATTATTTATTATCTAGTATATCCTATTCAATAAGTAAAGTGTTTTTTTATTGTTTGTATTGTACTTTCTTTTATGTATTTATCATTCCACCGATCAATTCCGCTGATTGAGATGAGAAAGGGGAGGGACTAAAAGTCTTTATTTACGTTTGATGACATAATGCGAAAAAATTCAGACAAAAAAAAATAGGCAAACGACCTGATGTATGTAAACAGTAATTAAATGAAGAACAAATATGGCAGAAAACAACTTGCTACATTTCTATGTTGTAGGACATTTCAAGTGTTCAAAAAGTGACGGTTTCCATTTTTAAAATACTAATTATTTTTGTCCTAATACTATATTATGCAGATTACTGCTCCCTTTTGTTTTTAGGCATTTATCATGTTTATGTTACACTGTATTTGTTTAGTTGAAATCAATATGCCATATCACACCTCGGGAGATAAACGTGCATCTGTTTATTTTAATAAATAAATAGATTATTGTTTTAAGAATAAAAGGAAATAATGTGTATTTAAATGATGTAAAATGTTATATAGAGGAGGGTCCGGATGTGGTTTACAGAATAGAGAAGAATGGACAAAAAGTGCAGAATAAAGGAAAAAAAATAAGAATAGAGAAAGAATAGGTCAAAAAATAAAGAATAGAGAAAGAATAGGTCAAAAAAACAAAATGAAAAATAAAGAATAGAGAAAGAATAGGTCAAAAAATAAAGAATAGAGAATATTGGACAAAATTTATAAAGAAAAGAGAGAAAAGGCAAAAAAATTAAAGAATACAAAATTGAAGAACCCTCCCCCATCCAGACCCTCATAAATGATAAAGCATACTGGTATCAGATATTACTTTCACGTAGTTAAATCAACAAATTTGTTTTATTATCTGGATGATGACATTAAAAGGAAAGCAACATTAACAACCGATCGATGTCGACTCTTTACTTTAACATGTTTAAAACCTCAATTTTAAAAATTGTCAGTGATTTTTTTGCCATGATTTTGTGCAGTAGGTCATGACTTGTTTAATGCACTCCCTCATACGATTGTCTCTGTTTTTTTGTGTTTCTTTTTTTTTTGACAAATGAGCAAATTAAAAGAAATATAAATGTTTCAAGCAATATTTACATACACAAAAAAAAAATTATTATTTACATCGAATGTTCTACATTGAAACTAATTTTGTAACTAACATAGCAAGTAAGGCAAACTATCAAAAATTGTCAGGGTTTACATTTGCGTTTGATATGATTCTGTAAAGTGCCCAGAATTTGTCATTGTGTGTATCAAGTGTGTCATAGTTACAAATGTAACACCAAATTTACACATTCTTGTTTCACGTCGATGTTGATCATAAATGAATAAAGGCGTCCGTAGGTCCGTAGAAAACACAATCACATCAAATTTATTAATCAGATAAGTCGATTCATTACCCGATTTGGTGGTAATTTCTATGGCAAGCTTACACACAGATTTGTGCGCACTTTTTATGCGCATATATCTAATTAGCATACATACTCAGGATCTATTACAAGATTAAAACAACTAGGGGACAGAACTCTTTAGGCCGTCAATTTGGCGCCAAACGTTTTATAAAAAACATTAGCAATACTACGTATAGAAAAACTACGTTATTAAAGACCAATAGAACAAGAAAAATACCCACTTACTCTCATTATAAAATATAACCAAATGTTGAAAAACTTTATTAAAATTATAAGAAAACATTGGAACAATCTGCAAAAAGACAAACAATGCAGTCAAATTTTTACCCAAGTGCCTCTTATAGCATACAAACGTAACAAAAATATAAAAGATTACCTTGCGAAATCAGGGTAACAGTTGAAAGACTTATGAAAAGGGACCCATGCTTAAACAGTTTTAAGCAAACAATTCCGATACACTGTTAGTAATAATCTAAATTATCGTCAACAAACTTATGAATATGAGTTAGCAAAAAACGATGTTAAGTCTTGAAACTTGTTACGAATGTTGGTTGAAGGAACGGTATTTCATTATAATGAAGAGAGTTCGGGAGATCAAGATATTAATCTGTTGAATTATTCATCTCATGAATATTCATTAGTAATGTGCATATTAATCTCAGTGTGTATTTTTAAAATCCCAGTGTGTAATTAACAATTCTCAGTGTGTGTTTTTTTAATTTATTTCATCTCAGAGTGCCTTTTTAAAATCTCAGTGTGTAATTTAAAATTCTAAGTGTGTGTTTTTCATTTTTTTAAATCTCAATGTGTAATTTTAAAATCTCAGTGTGTAATTTCGATTTCTCAGAGTCGGCGTTTTGCATTTGCGCCGATCTGCATTTCACTTGCGCCGATTTTTTCTTTCACTTGCGCCGATTATTTCTTTCATTTGCGCCGATTGTTTTACGGGTAAATTACAGGTGAAAACTTTTTTTATTTATCATTAAACTCTTCCGCTAGCCAGTTATACATATGTTATGAATTATCAATTAAAACATGCATTCCCGTTTGAATGGTTTTACACTAGTAATTTTTGGGGCCCTTTATAGCTTGCTGTTCGGTGTGAGCCAAGGCTCCGTGTTGAAGACTGTACATTGACGTATAATGGTTTACTTTTATAAATTTTGACTTGGATGGAGAGTTGTCTCATTGGCACTCATACCATATCTTCTTATATCTATATAACTGTTGCCCCCTGCCCACAATAGGGAGGTGGAAGTAGGATTTCGAGCATAAAAAGTCAATTTTAAGGTTAAAAGCACTCTGTTTACACGGTTTAAAATAACTGAGTGTAGCAATAAAATATCAAATGATATAAAAATCTATTTACAGCCTTTAAAATATCAAAGGACAATAAAACCTCTTTACGCCATGAAAAAAGCACAACACTAAAATGCAAAAAGGAGCAAATGGAACTTGAAAATATGGAATCGGCGCAAATGAAAGATTGAAAATTTATAAAATCGGCGCAAATGTCATACGCCCCTCAGTGTGTTATTTTAGGTTTTTAAATCTCAGTGTGGTTTTTTGAATTCTCTGTGTGTAATTTTTTTTCGAAAAAAGGTTTTAAACATAGTTTTGACGAGAACGGCTTGCCATAAATATCGGTGAACAGGTAAAAACAGAACTAAACAAGGTTGAAGTGACGTACCCGAACTTATCTGTGTCATACTATTACCGTTAGAATTGATAATTTAAAAAATCGCATTTACAACAAAGCTGCCTACAGGAACGTTTTTCTCACTGCACCTTGTCATGAGCTACTGAACAAAACCGCGGCAAAATAAACTGCACTAAACATTCCTCTGTATATGACAATGTTGTTACCGGACTGTGTATTTGATCTTTTAATTATCTACTTATATTCTGCATATATAGGTCAGAAAAAGCACTACTGTTCTTACAACAACAGATATAATATCTATTACAAATACTATATAAGGAAATGAAATCAGTATTGGTAAATGTAAGTCTCTGCACTGCTTGCTCCTTTTTGTTAAAAACATTCAAAATATGCGTTATCTCTCATTAATCTCTAAACTAAATGAAAAATCTATAAACGTCCCAAAGGGGGGTGGGGGGGGGGGGGGGGTGGGGGGACAATACTATTAATATATGCGGTGGTCAAGTATAAACTGCCGAGGTGTGCCGAATACATCATATCCACCAGTTTTCATAATTATTTTTTCTTCTGCCTAAGCTAAGGCCACCCTTTAAAAAAATCTTTGTTTGATGTTGCCTACCCGTGTTTTGTAAAGTTGGGTAGGTAGGATTTTTTTTTTGGCAAACAACTAGCCTAGTCAATTTGGCTCTAAAATCACTCAACCTCCAACTAATTGCAACACAAGGTTTTTTTAGTGCAAATTATAATATAGACTTGTACTAACAACATACTAAAATTA